GGCTGGGTTGTTTTGCCACCAGCTTTGCAAGCGGGCCAGCGGCGGAGCCAGAAAGGTGGGTGGGTGCGACGGGCAGGAGCGGCTCTGGAGCGGGACCCTGGCATTTCCCAGGGGCAACAGGACGGGCTGGGCCTCTGCAAGGGTGAATCCTGCCCCCTCCGCGCCGGAGCCCTTTGGCGATAGATGGTCCGGCCCCGGCGGGTGTTATCTAAGCAGCCCCATCACGCACTGCCGCGCAGCTTAGATCCTGTTCGACATCTGGTCGTCAAGCATGCGGGGGGAGGGGGGGATCACCCCAGGACTTTGTTTTAACGACCTAGTTTGAGTGCTGTCAGGTGGGTTCACTCACAAGTTAACTCCTTCCGAGAGCCTGGCCGGCTGGCTAGCTCCGGCGAGCCAGATCCCCCCCCCCCCAACACCCCTCCTGAAACGCGGAGTGAGACCGTGCAGGGTGGCTCAGGTTTGTGTATTCGCCCAGCCTTCAGCCTTGCCCCGGCAGAAGGGCTGCTCCAGGCCCATCTGCCGGGGGGCGCTCGGGCTCTGAGTCGTGGCTGAAGCCGCAAGCCCTCCAGCTTCCAGCCCTGGATGCTGAGTCACAAATAGCGCCCGCTGGAAATGAAATCTGCGGAATGCTCTTTAAAATTAGCTCCCGGCTTCACGCGCGCATAGCTCCGGAAAGCCACATTTTGCGGCATGCCGCTGCCTCCCTCCCGGCGGCCCCGCGCCGGCTCTGCCCGGGATACCTGCCCGCGGCCCCGCGCCTACCTTCCGGGCCGGCGGAGCAGCCTCTCGTGCCGGCGGCTGCTCGGGCAGGTGCTGCAGGGGGAGAAGGAAGGAGCAGCCTGCCTTCGCGTGCGTACAAGGCGGTAGCCACTCCCTGGAGGAAACTCGGTGGATTTGCAATGGTCGTGGTTAATGATCAACCCCCCCTTTAAAGTCGCGAAATCAGCCCATTCAGTAGAAACGTCCTGAACACAAAGCCTTTCCATCTCCTTCTCCCTGAGCCGCAAGTTGGGGCCACGGGAGGCTGCTACTAAAAACACTGAGACTTCGCTAAGTGCTCCGGCTTTGCTGCAGTTGTGCCGCTCGTCCAGCAGCAACGCCGGACCCCAGCCATCGTCGCCACCGCCACCGCCACCGCCAGCAGCAGCAGCAGCAGCATCCAAATCCAGCCTCCTCCCCCCTTAGTTCTAGCACATTACTTCATCACATGGCCCCTAAAGGGTTAAGGATAATACCTACCAAATCTGCTGTGGTCTTGCCTCGTTCCCTGGATAGTACCATTGGGGAAGATTTCTAAATGAAATCCAGTCCTGCAGTAGAGCTGCCTCCGCCTGAGGATCCCCTTTAAATGGTCCAAGTCCGTGACTGCAGGCCCCCTGGGTAGCCCACCTGCCTCGGACTGACCCAGGTGGTCACTTAACAAAACCGGACTATCCACCGGCAAAACAGGCACATTCCCAAAGGCTACTGCATCCTGCACACCGAAATAGTTCCCAACTTCACCTAAGGGAGCCATCAGAAGATTCTGCTTTTAGAGAATAAGAGCAAACAATAATGATGGTGCCAAACCCAGGAGATACAAGATTAGGTATATCCACTCCACTCCCCTCCCTACTGCGGTTACAGAGAAAATGTTCTTTCTTCAATCCATTAAATGCATAAATAAAAGTAATATTCTGGTTGGAGTGGCACAGGTTCAAGGTCAAACCAGTTAGTCTAAGAAACCACCACTTTCTACTCACACACTGACATATGTATAAACATCTATATGTGTATCTCGCTATATGTATAGATCCCCAGCTCTTAGCAAGCAGCAAGGTCTTCAGCCCATCCAACTGTAATAAGGAAAAAAATCCGTAGTTTCTCCATTTGGTTTAAGACAAGAATGACCATAGCAACTTAAATACCTAGGCGTTATAGGGATTTTTTTTAAGATGCACAGGCTACGTCAGGATTTATGGATTCTGACTCCAGAAAGGCATGCGCTGTTTTTACTCTATAACAGACTGCATACATCAGCATGAATCCTGCAAAGGGGGGTGGGGGATCTCACGTTGTTGGCTGAAATAAATCCAAAAAGAAAAAAAAAAAAAAAACTTTTGACGTCCAAATCTATTATCCAGAATCCTCAGGAGGCTCCGCAGATGTCCATTGGCTTAGGATTATTGGCGATCCACAAGCAAAGCAGAACCGTACAAGTGCTTGTGTCTGTCTTGGCTGGCTCGAAACAGGTGTTGCTTCTGCAGGGCTCGCTGTGCAATGTTGTACTCCAGCACTGAGCTGCAGCTCTTGACTGTGGGTCTCCATCCAGCACGCAGAGTGGCGCAGGAAGAGGCATTGGGCTGGGTTTAAGGTAGTCCTGATTGCTGCCGGGAGGATTCTCCGCGGTCCTAGCGCCCAGCCCTACCTGCTGCAATACCGCTCCCCTTCCAGCTCTGCCCTCCTTCCAGCGGCTCTTACTGCTCTGCGGCAATCGCGCCTGCAAAGGAAGAAAGCGGCGGCCAGAAACTTTGTGGTGGGCAGGAGCTGGGCGCTCCCTGGACAAAGCGGCGCTGCCGCGGCAGGCAGGAGCTCCTGGCAGATGCCTGCAGTAGCCCAAGTCCACCGTGACATTGAAGAAACCCCCCCTCGCTCGGCTGCTTAGCCGGGGCTGGGCTCCGGCACTCCCGGGCTGCATCCCAGGGGGCCCGGGAGAGCTCAAGGCCGCTGCGGCGTGCGAAGCCTGGTCCCCCGGGCCAGGTGCTGCGTGCGGCCAAAGCCGCGGCTTGTGCCCATCGCTGCGGTTTCAGTGCATGCTGCGGGGGTGGACGTGCCGCGGATCCCGCCCCCCCGCCCCAATTCCCCTCCCTGCTGCATTCACCACGACTGGACCCCGCAGCACCGCGGAGGCGCCCCCCGGGGCCGCGCGGAGGAGAGCTCCAGCTCAGCCCGGCCGCGCTCCCCCGCCCCAGCCCAGCGCAGTCCCTTCCTGCTTCGCTTCCCTGCCATGCGGGGCTCCCCCTCCCAGAGCCGGGCTCTCCCCCTGCAAAGCGCTGCACAGCCACGGCAAGGCTGGGCCCCGGGCCCCCTCCCCCGACGTCACGGCGCTGTGGGCCAAGGGGGGCGCAGACGGATCCCTGCAGCAAGCCTTGGGTGTGCTCACGTGGAGGGGAAAGACCGCTGGAGAGCGCCTGGGGAGCAGGCTGCTTGGGCGGGATGCGAGAGCGCGGGGGGATACTTCTCCAACGTGGCAGGGCTCAAGGCTCTGGAGGCTGGAGATCTGCCTGCAGAAGAGCTTTGCACCACGGAGGGACGTGCTGGTTCTTTCAGCTTAGGGGAAGCACCACAAACTGGAGTGACCTTTCCCACCTTCTCCTGGCACAGCAGCCCTGTCTTTTACCCGAGGGACCCCATCCTTCCTACCCCCTCCAGTGTGACCAGCCACTTCAGAGGAAGGAGGGATCAGGATTATCATTATCTCCTATTTTTGTGATCATGGTTGTAACTTGAGTATGTCATACTAGCTATTTTTATGAAACTAATTATCACACCCTGTTCCACTGACACATATGGGGCCTGTTATGCATGTATTAACTTTACTGTGGTGGTTACTGTTTGTATTATGACAGGATCCAGAGGCCCCTGCCAGTAGCTGTGTCGGCAAGTGCTTGATGCTGTACAAACAGAAAGAGATACAGTTACTGCCCCAAGGTGCCTACTTAGTAGGATTTAATTGTTCAGTGGTAGACAAGAAAAAGATAAGAGAGCTTCTTCCAGCTTTATAAATAAAAATTGTGGTATTCTTCAGGAAGGGCCTTAAGCACTGTTATCACAACTGTATACATCAGAGTTCAAGGACATCACTGACATGCCCAGTGGTGAAAACTGTGAAAACTTGTAGAAATGTTTGAAAAAAAATGCAGAACTCCCTGTGTCATACATTTGTTATTGTCAGGGTTCACAGCTTTATTGTAGTAGGTAATGTAGGCACCTGGGATAAAAGAGATGGTCTCTGCCCCAAAGATTTTATATTTCCAGCAGATGATGAAAAACAACAGGTGTATACTTCAAAGAAGGGAGGATAAGGAGAAAAGACACAGACATGAATAGCATAAGAAACAGCAGGCCTACCTAACATCAAGCATTTTGTGACAGAGGCAAGTTTTAGAACCAAAGAAGAACAAAGTAATGGCTTATGGATATTAATGGAAACTCTCTTCATACCTAATGGGTTACATGGGAGAGAACCCAAAAACCCTTGCTAGAAAATTACTTCAGCAGTGAAGACTTGCACCATTGGCAAAAAAGTGGTAATATGACAAAGTGATGGTACAGGTTAATATGTGTTGATCTACCAGAACTAGAAACAAGTGGAAAGGGTATTCCCAACTCCTCCCCAGTCAGTGATATAAAGAATACATTTCTAACCCTACAGGATGATGAGAAATCGGATTTTAAATCTGTCACCAGTCCAAGTTCGAATATCATCCAGCCGGTCTTTCAAACCAATATTATATGGGAAGTATATTTTATTTTGAAGGGTAAAGAGATATTTTTGCTAGTTTTTCTTTAAAGGCACTTAAGAAAAAGATGTGTATGCCAACATATACACATATTATGGGATATAGAAGAATTTGTGGTATAAAAGGTTTTATCTAACTTGAGGCTTTGATGTCTGAGTTATTTCATAAGGATTAAAGCCACACATGAATTATACAGGACTTCCCCAAAATTACATTGATCTGTGAGTAGGCAGTGCTCCATATGCTGTATAAAGTCAAATTTACCCCTCCACAGAAGTTTGGTTTCATTGATATCTCAAGCAATATTAAAAGTCTGCACTTTTATTCCCAAGATATTCATTCAGGAACATCTCTACCACTGGTTCCCTTCAACAAGAGATTCCCGCCCACCTCCCTTATAGCCTGGCAGAGTTAAAAGACTGCATCTGCCACAGTGAGTCATCAGAAGTTACTCAGCAGCTTTATGCAGGATTTTAGCTCCCACTGACAGAGTGGGTCAAAAAAAGCCCTCCATCCCTATGCAGGGTCATAAATCTTGGCACTGTTACATCATTGTGTATTCTTCCCACAAGTATCACATCAATATGGTATCTGTGTGATAGGATGAATGTATAATATAACTTTTACCCAGGATGGAGAATACTCTATCCTGGACCAACCACATGATATAGCTAAAATCCTGTACTTCACACCTTGTAGAGGTAGAAATGGATGTTCTGTACCTAAGAAATATAAGATCCAGAGTTTTCCAGTAAGATACACAATGTTTGGTGTGTAGTCGTAGAAGTTCTTGAGTTACCAGACCTTAAGTAGCTACATTTTCATATAGGGAAAAGCTTATTTAGGAGGGAGTGCACCAGAGAAAAAGCTAAATCTGCATGTCTTGCTCCCTTAATCTGTAGGAAAATCTGCTTGTATCTGAACAAATTAATGCTTCAGACAATGTTAACTCTCATTCTGTGTCTAAACCCCTATAACTGAAAGAGGCCGTTTAACTAGATGTGGATATAAGATCCATTGTATTTGTGGGTTTCTTTCAGTAAACGATTGCCTGCAAACACAGAATTGGTTTTAATGGCCCAAGAGTCCCTTTCCAATCTTACATTCCTATGTTCCTTTCCTTCACGGTACCATGAAGAAGAGGAGATCTGTCAGCACTATGAAGGAATCAGATCTCTGTGGGGCTGTTACTTCCTTTTTTCCAGGTTCTGCAGATGTTGGAAGTTACAACATGTGCCTCTATAGGCTCCGAAATAACCCAGTGTGTGAACTTAAGGAGGTTTTCCATGCTATCCTGCAGATTTCATTGTAGGAAGACAAAGCTTTATTATTGCTGATCTAGCACTATGCAGCATTTGCAATGGGAGGACTTTGCTGGACATATAACCAACCTGTCCATGCCTTGAAGGGCTTACTTTCACTAGGGAGATGATACAGGATAAAATGAACAGAATAATACATGAATGAAAAACCTTGCTTGCAAAGGCAAGCATAGCTCTGAAATGTAGGCACTATTTCAGGCTTCATCACAAGAATTATGACTTTGAAGGTACTTCGAAATAAGCTGTACATATGAACATGCTGTTTTGCAGAAGAGGTCAGCATTTCCGCTCAGGGGCAGGGGCAGGGGAGGACAGTCAACTTTTAATAGCACCAATGAAACCTGAAAAGAAGAAATGGTTGGGCAAATACTATTTCAATTTATTAACTGAAGACTACTTACACTCCCAACTACAAAATTCTAGATTACCGGAGAATCAGTAATATACCTCTAAAATGATTTGGCCATGGACTTCAAGTCAGTTGGACCCTATAAAAGAAATTCTTATAAGTCTGAAGAAGATTGACGTACCAGAATACAGTTCATTTCCCATTTCAGAACTACGTAAGAATACGCCTAAAATCAGACACTGCTAAAAGACTAGAATCTTGGAGTATTTCAACAACCCTCATGGCACCAAGACATTGGCTGCTGTTGTCTCCTTTATTCACCTATTGCAGGTTAAGGTGTTATGTCTTGTGGTTCTGTCAGGGTTGACTGTAGTTTTGCCAATAGGCTGGACAATGGATTTGTATAGAATGGTTTGGATAGGGTTGATTCTGCCTCAGGCAGGGAGTTGGACTACATGACCTCTTGGAAGTCCCTTCCTGCCCTATTTCTCTATGATTCTAAAGAAGGAAATATGGAAAAGTGAAACACACAAGAACTATATTTTGCCTGTGCTGAATAATTGACAATATATAAAACTTTTTAAGCTAGAGTATTATAAAATGCACTGTGAATTTTACACATAGGATTCCAAGTAAAAGCTGTTAACAGGTAGAACTAGAAGATCAAACTAGAAAAGCTACAAAGAAGGGCAACAAGGGTGGTCAAGGTATGGCAAGGCTTCCATGTAAGGAGAGACTTAATAGGCTGGGGCTTTTCACTTTAAGGAAAAGAAGACTGATGGGGATATGTGAAGGGTCAATAAAATAATGAGTGTGCCATCTCTCACAATACTAGAAGTACAGGACATGCAAGGAAATTATTAGGAAGCATGCGTAAAACTAACAAAAAGACATTCTCTCTCACACAGCATGTATTTAACTTGTGAAACTCATTGCTACAAGGTGTAGAAGATGACAATTTAACCAGGTTCCAAAGAGAAATTCATGCAGGATAGGTCCATCGATGGGTATTAAACACAATAGTAGGCCTTTAATTGCTGGAAGCAATAATGGAAGAACAGCAGGGGATAGCTAAGTCAAGAAAGACCCTAAATAAATACTCTTACCTTTAGCATCTATTCTGCGCCACTATGCAGTTGAGAATACTGAGCTCATTGGACCCGTGGTATAACCCAGTAGGGCATGTCTTACATTCTTATGTAGTATCACTGTTATTCTTTGATTCACAGTTACAACTCCATGCCCTGCATAGATTTCTTATAACATGATGATTTTTCACCAGTCCTAGAAACTAGTGCATGAATTCATTAAAAAAATTGGCTTATCCTCATCATGATAAGTATGGCAGAACGTGGGACTTTTTACTCTCATTGGGAATGATCTGATGGTGTGATTTCAAAAGTCCTGATTTAGGTACAATCATTCTAACACCACTATGAGAAAGCTGCCAGAAATTACAGCATTATAGATACTTATGGTCTCATTTAATGTCTACATCTGCAAGGGATACTTGTAGGTACATAAGGTGGAAGCATGTGTTATTCTGTCAAAATGCTTGAAATTTGTCCCACACATTCCTCTACTGTGATCGTACACATATGTTAATTGTTGGCTCA